TGTTTATAAAAAATTAACACGTACGTACGTTTAGAATAAGCGAATTATAGGTTTGAGTCCCATAAGCCACAACTTTGTGTTCTCGGTCACATAAACTTTAATTACACTTTCTTCGTAATTATATTGATTCATTTTTATTATACTGACCGGAAACACGATACATTTGGGCATGCCGTTATCTGAAGAAAAAAATGTCGTTGTTCCAGGCGATGTTATTGTATATACAATAAAGCTGGTAAACTATACAGATATAATATTCAAAACTAATAATCCAACTTCTAGTCAGTTTTGATATTTAAACTGTCCCGTCATAATCATCATTTAACAATTTACAAAATCAGAAAAAAAGGGAAAAAATGGACCGTAGTATCCCATAATAGGTACTCTGTTGTAAATTGGTTAGACAATGAAAATTATGCAATACTTAAAAGATCATCTAAGAGAATCAATTTCAGACAAAATCGAGCCTTTTAAATTATCATTAAAAGTTATATTTCTGTTGTAATAATGTCAAGTTTTAAACTATTGAAATACAATAGCCATTGTTGACCCGCCGACCTGAACGTTATAAACATTGTCCACATCAGATTAGGAATAGCATTACAAATACAAATTTCATAATTAATAAGTTTTGCGTAACCTTAGAAAAAGGTCATAAATTTTAAAAGACATCGTAAGACGTGTGACAAATGGTGTGGTGAGACGCAAAAATATCGCAACGTTTGCTAGTTGTCAAAACATGGAAGCCCAGCCTTGATTGTATAATTTATTTTTTAAGGGCAGTGCATCGGAAAATAACATGTCCCCTCAAACGTGAAATTATAAAAAATGAAACGAAATTGGCGTGTTCAATATTTGATTACCGGAAAGTGTAAATAAAAAAATAAACGTATTGTGAGATGTAATTATTGGAAATTTTGTACACACACATTTTGTTTTTCGTATTTCGTAATGAGACAGTAATTATTAGCGGAATGAAAATATCGAGGGTTCAAAGTAAAAGGTTATAACTGCCACTTTTGCCGAAATTGACTTTTATATGTTTTTATAATGTAACTTATTGTCCTTTATGTCTGACGAAAATATTAATAAATATTCAATCCTTATAGGGCAAAAATTAAAAAGTATTTTGTAATAACTTCTTTTCTACAAATTATTTAGGGGTAAAAGGTTCTAAGTGTACTTATTACCTGTTGTTTACTTGTTGTTCCCACATGTTGTGAAGAATCTGTAGTGGAAAAAAGTTATAACTGATTTTATTACCTTTTTCCCCTGACAGAATGCTGCATTCATACAGTTCACAGGCACTATCTGTTATCTCTTTTCCCACGAAATTTATCTTTTAGAATTAAATGCAGCGAGAATATAACCGAATATGAAAGACAGAAAATATTCAGTACATACTGGTCAATGGTGATTACATAAGTCAGAGGCAATTCATTTGTTTCCATGTTGCCAATAAGAACCAGAGAATGTATCTAAACAGAGAACAAAACAAAGAACTAATTTCGAAGTCGTTTTTCACACATTGACAGGTAGAAAAGAGGCGTGAGGGATGTTGCACTTATTCATTATCTCTCAACTGTACAGACTCAATCAAACCGAGTCTGCAATTTTCATGCAATTTTGTTGTTTAAATGCTTCCGAGGGATCACTTTGTTTCCAGATTTTTTACTAAAAACTATCGATGTCGGTTCCAAAACAGTTGCAAACGCAGTTAAGCACAAAGTGGCAGGTTATATGTTGGAAATGACAAGAGAGGGAAAGCTGTGCCTGAAAAATAAAACCACGGAATATCACAGATCATTTGTAAAGAAAAACACAACGAAAGCTTTCCGACTGTTGAATCACAATTACACACGAAGACCCAACAGGAAGTATCAAACGCAAGATTTAAATATAAAACGATATACTCACTGTATGTTAGAAAAATGCAAAGGACAAAATAGAAAGTGTGTTTCAGAGGCTGTGTACAGAATCATTTTTAGTACAGAAATATAACTTTTTTTTCCGTCCTAAGAAAGATCAATGTCCACTCTGCAATCTGTATGACACTTTGAGAATAGAAGATAGACTAGATGAGGCAACAAAAGCAAAATATCAAGTACACCAAGTGACCAAAAAGAAAAAAAAAACAGTGCTAGAATGGAAAAATCAGCTGATAAAAAAACGCACAAAGAAGATCCAAAGTTTTCTGTGTCAGCATTTGATATCCAGGCTATTTTGAAAACACCACTCAGTTTAATTGGTGATCTTCGTTACAAAAGAAAACTGTGTTGTTGCAATTTGTCATTCTATGAACTGGAAAATGGTAACGGGACTTGTTATCTGTTGGATGAGACACACGGGGAAACCAGGCTCGTGCAAAGTAGGAACTTTTGTGTTCTTGTATTAAACCTATGTTGCAAGTAAGACATCTGGTATTGAAGAAGTGACATTATATAGTAATGCATGTGGAGGACAGAATTGCAATCAGTTTGTTGCAAGTTGCTTAGTTCACTGTGTCCAAGATATACCTCACATCAATGGTAAAACACACATTTCTTGAATTGCCATTTCATTAATGAAATGCAAATTCCATACATGCATCTATTCAAGCATGCAAAAAGCCTTACAATAGTTCATGTTCCATCGCAGTGGGAAACAGTTTATATCATACCAACGCCGGAAGCAACCCATATATTGTCGTTCTAATAAAATACAATGACATACTAGATTACAAGTTGTACAAAGAACAAAACTTGGCTCAATGAAAATCGATGTTGATGGTGAACGTGTTAATTGGCTGAATATATATAAAATACATGGTTGATTTAGGGGTGGATAAGGCTTATCGGTGAGCTAGAAAGTGTATCTTGGCGAGCTTTAGCAAGCCAAGATTCACTTTTCGCAGTGAACCGGAAAAAACCTTCTCCAGCCCGACATCAACCATGTATTTGTTTTATCCTGCTTTAATAATGTTTTTAGAATAATTAAATGGTTTCATTCTTCTTTTTTCCCCGATAAAATAACATCTATATGTAGTTTTTGTTTTGCTGCTAAACATGTGACGTTATCAAAAGACGTAATGACTGGAGATAGATAAAGACAAAAAATAACAGTATTGTTGTGAGCTATGGTTTTGTGGTTAGTGAGTCAAGGCAGTTAGGTTAATGCAGAAGAAGAACAGAAGCAAAGTAAAGTCTTTAAGGCTCCACGAAAGGCTTATACAGAGAAGCTTCCAATATCTGCTGCAAAAGCTGATTTGATGTCACTTGTTGCCTCTGGAACAATTCCGAAGGAGTGCTATTCATTACTATGAGTCATTGCCATGCAGCAAATCTAAAAAAGACAAACGTTCAGTGCCTTCTGTTAGTGAGAGTGAAGAAGATGAGTGGAGGTCATAGAATAATTAATGACAAAACATTCACATTTTGTGACATGAAACAGTAGTCTTTATTTACTTAACTATGATATGGGTCACTAATATCCTTAATTGCTGATGTCTGGGGTCTGTTTGACATCAGTTCCATTATATACCAGAGAACATTCAAATAAATGAAATTTGTAAACTTAGATTTTTTAGTGCGTATTTTCGTAAATTTTTAGTTATTAATTTATTTCTGTAGAATCTAAATATTGAGCAGGTACATATTTCATATTTCTATGAATGAAAAGTGTTTCATTTTTGTGTCGAGTATTAATGTGCATTGTGTTAATTACATTTACGTAAGGTTCTTCAAAGTAAGGACATAATTGAAAATTTGCAACAGTAACAATTACTGCAACATCTAAAAATTTTTCAGAGGAACAAGGCTATAACTGCACTTATAACCTTTTACCACAGTTTATCTCTATCTTTTATTGCTAAACCTTCAGAAGTAAAAGGTCGTAAGTGCAGTTATTACCTTTTACCGCTCAAATTGTAGTCTTGACAGGATCTAAGTACATTTATTATCTTTTACTTCTGTAAAATGATATTATTTTGATCTTAGAACTTTAAAACAAACTATAATGACAGTGTTTTATCAGCACCAAGCAATGTAAACTAAACAAAATATGATCTAATGTAGTCAACAAATATGGGAGAATCAAAATTGTTATAATAATATTACGGAAAATAAAGTTGTATTAAAAAATATGTTTTTTGCGTTTTTCTCGAAATCTTGAAAATGGCAGTTATTACCTTTTACCTTTGAACCCTCGATATATGAAAGTTTATAATAACGGATCGTTTTTATAAAACAAGTGACTTTCATATTTTGTTGTTTCTTAACCTTTTTTATTCCCAGAATAAAAAAGATATATGAAATGAAATAGAAAGAGCATTTATCAATAAGTTTATTGTTAAATATAATAAAGTCAATAATATTTAAACGTAACAATCTCTCATAGTTGAACCATAAAAAGGCGTGAGAGAAGGTGATTATTTATTGGTATTTACATTAACATTATTTCATTAAATTTTGACGATGAAAATCATCATTCGGACTAAAGATTAAAAAAAAATAATAAAAATTGACTTCTTGATGGGAAAAAGTATTCAAATATTTATAGTGTTAACATGCCTGTTATTGCACGTGCTCGTTGTGGAGTTAAAGACGACAAATACCGGCGACTATGAAGGTAATTTTTATTTATTTTGTATATCATCGCCGTCTTGTGTTGACAGCTAGTTCATCATCATCATCGTCATCAACATCGTCATCGTCGTCGTTATCGTCATCATCATTATTATCATCGTCATCATCATCATGATCACCATCATCATCATCATCATCGTCATCATCATCATCATCATCATCATCATCATCTCGATGTATTGTTATCTTTTCCTCTATCCACTTTACTAACAATATAAATGTAATTAGCAGCATCTGTTTTGAAGATGTTGTTACTAGTAATTCCTTCGCTCTGTCTGTAGTCATCACCACCACCATCATCATCATCATATTCATCATCTAATTTTTTTGTTTTCAATTATATCTATTAATGAGTGCACGATACAATACACGTACGCTGTATTTGATATGAAGATCGAATTTTAAAAAAATAAACCGAAGTGCAATGTAGATTTTAAGATGTACTTTTAATATTTGATGACACTGGAGTTCAATATAAAGTATTTACATGAAATAAGTTATACCTGTAATTTAGATAAAAAGCCATACAACTATGATAATTTCACGGGTATTTCTATACATGTATTTGAAATATTATAACGTTATCAAGCCTTTAATAATCTTGAGGAAATGTTACATTATCATTTGGAAAATATTTTATTTAAAAATGCCGGAAACTACATGATTTTTATTAGGACGACAAAATAACACCATTACCAACTATTATGAAATTACAATGTATTTAGATGACCACAAAACCTTTTTCCGTCTAAATGCTACAGTTTTTTACACATATTGTACTAATGAACATACCTCAGAATTAAATATGCCTAGCGTCACATGATGATAAACATCACATGACGTAGTGAATTCAATGTAAATATCCGACGTTACAAGATATCTTGTTATTTTTACCTTTCTTTATTTTTCAACTTTTGTGCCACGTAGATAGCCGTTTAGAGCCCTAGAGCTTATATGCTTTTGGTTATTATTATCTACATTCGTTGCTGTATTGCTGTCGGATACCGTTAAAAGTTGCCCAGAACGTCAAATCTAAAATGTTAAATTTTTTATCCTTGAGGATCGTTCAACATGAGATTATTATTGTTGTGTATGTGGTAGTACTAGCTCTTTCTATTTGATCTTTTTCTAGTATTTCTACTTGAATACTGTATTACCACGCTAAGGATATGTTGTCTGCTGTTTTAATTTGTATTTCTACGTCTAATATGTGATATGCAGGCTTCATATCCTATTGACGCTTTCAAAATTTCATTTTCTGTATTTCCGCCCATTGTTAGTTTACTTTCGAACCATACGCCACCTTTCATAGAATTGTACAAACGTGGCATTAACATATTTGCGGATATTTTTCTAAATTCAAATTTTCACCATAAGATGTTCAAATATTGAATACTGCTTTAGCCGTGCTAGCGGGCCTGGACAGTAGTTTTTAATTACAGAGTGTGCCACTGCTGTCCATGTACAGTCCCTCGATCAAATTTTTCAATTTTGCCGTTTACGGCGTTCTTTAGGAATTCCGTTATTTTCTATTTTATTGCGAACTCGGTTAAAGCGAACTTCTAGTTACAATGAACACACCTATCCTCTTCCGATTTTTAAAAACCATTTATGGAAACAAATTAGGGCTAATTATTTAATAAAAATTTATGGATTATTCTTTATGGACTTTTTCTGGCAACCTCTTTATGATGATATGTCAAACGATGGGGGATACACAATTTAATAGAATTTTGCGGTAACTTGTATAATGCAAAAAGGAAAATATAAATCACATGTTAAATATCGTAATTGTAATATTGTTGCTATCGGCTTTCCGGTGCTTGATGTAACACGGATTCTGTGACGACATTAACATTATGTTTTAATACGCCTTCCATTAGATAGCCAAATTGTTTTCCATATTTACAACAACAAAACATCAACAACAACAACAACGTATTTATTTGATTATTAGGCCACCGGCCCATAATAAACAAAGCAACATCAGACAAGAATCATTTTACGTCACCCGATCATTTGATGTACAAATAACATGGTGTATACGGTATCGTAATGGTGTATACGGTATCGCAATGGTGTATACGGTATCGTAATGGTGTATACGGTATCGTAATGCACCTTGTTTTGCACTTATACTGTTGTTTAGTACAAAATGTCGTCCCTCGTCGTCTGTTAAAGACGTGGGTCGTTGTCACGACAGAAGCGCAAATCAAGTTATCTTTCATTTACGGCCCTGTCCCTCACTTTACTTTAATTTATTGAACGGTCAGACAAACGCTTGTATCGTAAAATTGGCATTCCGCGGCTTCATGGTACTACTGATGTTTTAAAAACTATTACAAACGGTCACGAAATTCTAGATATGACCTCTGACATGATGTGTAGACTAGGTCCTGGTTCCATATTCATATTTCCATATTTGTTTCTTCTTTCTTATTCAAACTACGTTAAAGAAAATTAAATATTTAAATTTTATTAGCTATTTACTATTACAATTTGGATGAAATATTTAAAAAAAACTCGCATTTCTACAAACAACAACAAACATCACAAGAAATGACACCCCATAAAAAAGACCCCCCACCCCGAAAAAAAAAACAACAAAAAAAAAAAAAAAAAAAAAAAAAAACCAACAAAAAAACTCGTGCTTACATCAGTTACACCTGCAAATTTATATATATGGTCTCTTAAATAGCCCCATGTACATTCGTAGTTTTGTAATGGAAAGAAATTGTCTGTCTATCAGTCTCTCTGTCCATATGTCTGTATGGTTTAATCTTTAATTATATGGTTTAATTTTTAACAGCATTTGATGTTCCCATATATTATTTATAATTGTGCTTATTCCAATTCTTTACTCAGGGGCTTTTAAACGCACTTTTTTGCGCATCTTCATCAACAAAAAAGGACAATATCTTCGCATCACATATTCATCGCCTTCTCTTTTCACCCTTTGGCAAATTTTCGAAACATTCTACACAAGTTTTTTATCATAATTAAATTTGTCAGTTACACATCAATTAAAAACGGGAATAAGCTAGGTTTCTGTGTAGTCACAATTGCATTTACCTAACAACTATAACATTCATGCATACGCATAACTGTATTGTACATCAAGAAAACTTTCAGGTATATAATTTATTCTAGAATGGCGATTCATAAAAATACTAAAAATCAATTTTGTATGCCTGTAATGGGAAATAAATACACGTTATAAATGTTTTCAACGCGTACTAATTATCTGTCTTCCAACCAGTAACTTAATACTAACCTATTTTTTCCCGCCTAAAAATGCATGTTGTTGGTGTACGAAGTATCAATGATTTTTTTTTTTAAATTAGCCTTTCATCAGAACTTTTAGTACTTTGATAACATGTAAGGTTGAAAGTACAACAGTTTTTTTTATGCTTAGATATATTCATTTTAAATATCGAAATACGTTTATACATGTTACATTTTTTTAAAGAAAACGGTGCTTGCATGCTTTGCGGTTATAGTGCGGTTAGTCGGAAACCCATATAATTACTTTAGGCGAGGTCGGGCCTAAATTATAGAAATTACGTCAAATATCACTATTGTCTGCCATCACAGATTTATGTTTATTTTCGTTGCTACGTAAACAATTCACACGATGACTTGTGGATTTTTGTTTGGTTATTTTTTGTCAAGTTCCTCCTCGGCTCATTTTAACATGCAATTTTAAAATTAAGTAAAAACGTAACAATGTGAATTATTCCGATAATTTTAAGCATAATAATTATCGATTATAGATACGATTAGCGTAAAAAGTCAATCATAACTATCCCATAATATTTGCTATTACGACATTCAATTTACATAACGAACTTTCTTTGTGACTAAATACAAAATGTCAATAATTTAAACAAATTATCAAGCCGGAATGCGTTTTTAAACTTTCTTTTATTTGGCAGTTTTCGCACTGATTGTATTTTAAGATTTATTTTAAACGAGGTTCTTTTTCTATGGGAAAATGTCAAAAAATGTAATCGGAATAACAAAAAAATTAAAGCTATTATTTCTACAACTTTGTTTGTTAATACGTAAAGTTGTCATTTCAAACAATAGATCTAGGGTGGGAACGGGATTAAGGAAAAAATGAATTATGCCATGCCTAATTAACATGTCGATGTAAATACATTGTAATATGAAAAATGTACGTTAACAAAAAAAAATCATAGAATTCATAGAAAATAAATATTTTTCAAACCGCAATTAACTTCCCACGTCCTTGTGAGGGGTCTAGCAAAAATGAAAGATTAATAATATATATTTTTGCTTCGTCTCTATGGAAAAGATCTTTTGTTGTAATTAGGCAGGTTCGTTTCCAAAAACCATTACCCCATCGTTGTTTTACACCATACCTACTGTACAAGACGTCTTTTGAACTTAACTTGTTTTTCATTCCATTTTGGTGACTTAAAGATGGCACTTTGTAGGCACGCCAGTTGACTGTTTCTCGGATGTCTTAACAAGTAATCAAGCCGGAAGAGAATCTCGCAACTTGTGGGATTCGAACCCACTACAACCGGTTAAGGAGTACGGTGCTCTATACCCCTAGACTAATCGACTTTCTCCATAACGACACCAGTACACTGTTTTGTATATTTTTGTAAAATAAGTGTATTTGAAATATTAATATATCAATATTTACACATCAATAGTGGAATGAATGTGTCTAAACAATTATAGGCATAGGTTTGTCTTAATAAACTATTTAAAACGAGTTAATTCATAGTTGATAATACAAAACCTGCCAATCGTTAAACATCGGCTGTTGCCGTATACTCTTGATAAGAGGCGAAGCATAATAGCCGAGGAGATCAGATTGAAAACCTGTTAAAAACGGAAGCTAACCTAACTATTCGTTTACTTTGTTCAGTTACCTTAATTCCTTTTTTTAATGTTATTGAACATATCACCATGACAATTTTACGTAAATTACATACATGTATATGACTACAGGTGTTGTATTAATAATGATAAAAATATCACTCTAGTGTAGCCCTTCTGCCATGCTTAAAGTTAGCCATCTTTCTTCATGATATACACAATCTAGTGAGTAAAAAACTAGAAAAGTCACCGCCAGGAACTTAAACATTTATTAGAATATGAAAATAATTTCACTCAACATGCATATAGATGTTTTTTAGAATAAATGCGGCAATGTTACATCATCTGTCTTTGTAAATTCCAATTATTTTATTAACAATACACCCTCTTCTAATAAAGCTATTTAAATAGGTGTAAAAATTTCAGGATATTTGACCATTGAAATTGTTTATTTCCATTGTGAAATGGCTCTATTATTTGCGTTACCTTGTACATAACAGTGGAATAAGTGGTTTCAGCATCGATCTAAGGTATATATAAATATCAGAAATATAATAAATCAATGGCCCGTAATAGAAACAATAAAGTCAAATATTTGCCCCATGATTGAAAATTTGTTTGAACTACAAAAAGGTTCTTAAAGCCACCAGTAGTCACGGATTCCCTAATTATAGAAATTTAGATTTGTATCAATAGTGTAAGAATAAAATTCATGCGAAAGCATGGTCATGCGCGTGTGTATACATACACCTTGCCTTAATTTTAACTTTAACATTATATATATAAGTAATGAGTTAAAACATACATAGACGGTAATTATGTTTTATTTACTTTTATTATCCAGAGTAAACATTCACGCAAGTGAAAAGAAAAATCGAAACACATTATCTGTACCCACAATTTACAAAATGAACAAAAAAAAATACAATAAATGAAACCAGATATTGTTTACATGACTTTATTATCGCGCCAATCTTTGATAAGAAAAAAAAGAGAAAGAAAAAACTTCTTATAAGGAGACCTTGAATATAAAAATAACAATGGTTTTAGTAAAATATCATTTCAATCAAAAAGGATTTTAAATATTACAAACGTGTAGGTTTAACGCATCACACGTAAATTATCATGTATTAACATGTGTAAAATTTTCTAACTGTCCTGCAATGTCAACTTATGCTTTCCTTATTAACTATGCACTGAGTTTATAGATTTTGTAACAAAGTATTCTTTTATTCATATGTGTACGTATTTATCGTTTTCAAGTTCGATTAGTTGTTATTTTTATCTGCGGGACCACCAAAAAGGTGGTGGGGAATTTTATACTCTGCGACTGCTTTTTCTTTATAGAAACATGTATATGTAGATGTTGGTTTGGCTTGCACTTAGGCTTTTATGTTCTCCATATGTTTTTCTTTATGTTTTCTCCTTTTCAGTTTCCCTATATTCAGATTTTTCAACCACAACTATAACGATCACGATATTTTGCCTTCGTGCTGACCGCATATCAATTCGTATGTTTATAGCGCCTCTTTCTGTAACCGATATTTTGACAGGATTGTCTTCATTATATTTAATAACTGAAAGACTACAACAATTATATACAAATCAAATGCCATGAAGTTGTATCGCAAACACTTTCAGTACCCTAAGACAAACGTTTATTTAAAGAAAATCATTCTGATTAAATATACAAACATGGTCACCGACACGTTCAAATAGCAGCATTAGAAATACTTGTTATGCAAATATATAATATTTTAAGAGTAATTTATATTACCCCTTTTTGTTTGCATTTGTATGTCTCTTTAAATTGAAACCTCATGATTAAAATGGATAAAGTAGAAGGTTAAACATCGCTTGTTATCAACATAAGACAGGCGATCTCGACTATTGACTTCTGTAGAGTTAAGTCATGGGTGTCATTCAAACAATTTAACCTTTTTTACAATGTTTTATAAAACAATTTAAAAAAAAAAAAAGATTTTATCAAGATTTTTTATCTTGGGCTGACGTCACAACAAAATTTATACACCCACACATATGAAAGATTAAATTTACGCTAAAAGGGGGGTTAAAATTAAAGCCCAATTTTTTCGGTACCCCATAATCGGTCAGTGAAGGGTTGGAAATATAACGGAACGCGTCAAAAAAAAAAGGCTTTGGGGCTTAAGTCCGGTTTTTAGACGTTAAAATTGTTTTTTTTCCAAAGCACCCAAAAAACTATAATTTTCTTTTTACTTTGGTTGGAAAAATATAAAATTTTTTTTGGTTTAAAGCTTGGGCGTTTTGGGCTCCACCCCCAAGAGTAAATTTTACCCCGCAGACAAAAAAAAATTTTTTTCAACAAAAAAGTTTTGACCCCCATCAAAAAAATTCTAAAAAAGTTCCCCAAAATGTAAAAACCTTTTAAGGCCCAAACCCAAAATGCAAATTTTTAAATCAAAAAACCCCGCGAAAAGGCCACTTTTGGGAACGGCATTTTCCAATCATTTTGTCCCTGCCTCTCCTCGGGTTCTTTTTAAATAAAACGTGCCCCAAAAACTCTTTACCCCTGCCCAAACCCCACCCCCCCAAAAAAATAAAAATTACCTTAAAATGAATGTTTTACCTTTCAAAAAGGGGTTTTGTTTGAAACCCCCTTGCCATTCCAAAAAATAAAAAAAGCTGCGGTACAGCCCTTCATTCGCCAGTAGTCCTAACAAACAAGACATGACCTCCAAAACATTATCACGGTGCGCTTATAAAACTTCTTTCCTACAAATATCGCAAAGGTAAAGGTCACTGTTTTCGTTCGCATTAAAGATCACATGATATTTCTTGTTTACCCCTTGATTAAACGGGACTCAGATATTTCATTACATTCTAATTTACTAAAAACACTATACATCTGTATGTTGATAAACTTTGGAATGTAATGTACTGAATATCAATTATATGAAAATATTAACCTTATTTTATAGCAAAATAAATGTTTTTTTCTCTTAAGATTCATACTTTGGTCAAAGGATCAGGAAAGGTCGACGTTTACTTGGGTCTTCGACTGTAACAGAAAATTCAACAACTGATATACCTACAACAACAGAAACGGTAAATATTACTGAGCATTCAACAACAATAAAAACAATAACTAGTACCGAGCCGTCAAGTACAACAGAAGCAATACCTACTACAGATACATCTACAACAACAGAAGCAATAACTACTACAGATGCATCAAAAACAACAGAAGCAATAACTTCTACTGATGCATTGACCACATCAGAAGCAATTATTAGTACAGATGCATCAACAACAGCAGTTGAAGCAATAACTACTACAGATGCCTTGACAACAACAGAAGCAGTGACTACTACTAGTCCAACATCAACTACAACAGACACAATAACTACTACAGATGCATCAACTACTACAAACGCATCAACAACAACAGACACAATAACTACTACAGATGCATCAACAACACCAGAAGCAATAACTACTAGGGACGCATCAACAACAACAGAAGCAATAACTATTACGGACGCATCAACAACAACAGACGCAATAACTTCTACAGATGCATCAACAACCACAGAAGCAATAACTTCTACTGATGCATCATCAACAACAACAACAGAAGCAATAACTACTACAGACGCATCAACAACAACAGAAGCAATAACTACTACAGATGCATCAACAACAACAGAAACAATAACCTCTACAGACTCAACAACAACAGATGTATCAACAACAATAACAGAAGCAATACCTAATACAGATGCATCAAGGACAACAGAAGCAATAACTTCTACTGATGCATTGACCACATCAGAAGCAATTATTAGTACAGATGCATCAACAACAGCAGTTGAAGCAATAACTACAACAGATGCCTTGACAACAACAGAAGCAGTGACTACTACTAGTCCAACATCAACTACAACAGACACAATAACTACTACAGATGCATCAACAACAACAGAAGCAATAACTACTACTGATGCATCAACAACAACAACAGAAGCAATAACTTCTGCTGATGCATCATCAACAACAACAACAGAAGCAATAACTACTACAGATGCATCAACAACAACAACAGAAGCAATAACTACTACTGATGTATCATCAACAACAGAAGCAATAACTTCTGCTGATGCATCATCAACAACAACAACAGAAGCAATAACTACTACAGACGCATCAACAACAACAGAAGCAATAACTACTACAGATGCATCAACAACAACAGAAGCAATAACTACTACTGATGTATCAACAACAACAGAAGCAATAACTACTACTGATGCATCAACAACAACAGACACAATAACTACTACACGATGCATCAACACAACAGAAGCATAAACTTCTTACTGATGCATCCGACAACAACAACAGAAGCATTTAACATCTACTAATGCATCAACAACAACAGAAGCAATAACTTCATACTGATGCATCCATCAATCAACAAACAACAGAAAGCACAATAACGACTCACAGACGCATCAACAACAACAGAAGCAATAACTTTCTACTGATGCAACATCAACAAAGAACAGAAGCATAACCTCTACTTGATCCCCATCAAACGCAACAATAACAGAAGCAAATTTACCTAATAAGATGCCATCAAGGACAACAGAAGCAATAACTTCTTTCTATGCATTGACCACATCAGAAGCAATTACTTAGTACAGATCTGCATCAACAACAGCAGTTGAGCAATAACTACAACAGATGCCTTTGGACCCAAAACAAAACAGAAGCATGATACTACTAAAAACCCTATCATCGAACTACAACAACGACAACAATAACTACTTACTGATGCCATCAACAACACCAGAAGGAATAATCTACCGAGGGCGCACCAACAACAACAGAAGCAATAACTACTCGGAAAAGCAGTCAACAACAACAGACGCATAACTACTACAGATGCGCGATCAAACAACAACAGGAAGCAATAACTTCTACTGATGCATCATCAACAACAACAACAAACAACAGACCGCAAAAACTTACTACAGATGCATCAACAATACCAGAAAGCAAATAACTACCACAGACGCATCAAAAACAAACAGAAGCAATTAACTACTACAGACGCATCATCTACGACAGAAGCAAAACACTTATCAGACGACCATCAACAACAACAGAAAAAATAACTATCCACAGAACGCATTCAACAACAACAGAAGCAAATAACTATACAGACGCATCAACAACACAAGAAAGCAATAAACTATTACGGACACATCAACAACAACAGAAGCAATAACTACCACAGATGCATCAACTACGACAGAAGCAAAACTATCTACAGATGCATCAACTACGACAGACGCAGTAACTACTACAGACACATCAACAACACCAGAAGCAAATAACTACTTACAAGACGCATCAACAAACAACAGACGCAATAACTACTACGGACGCATCAATAACAACAAAGAAGCAATAACTAACTTCAGAATGCTATCAACAACAACAGAAGCAATAACTCCACCAGACGCATCAACAACAACAGAAGCAATAACTACTACAGATGCATCAAAATACGACAGACGCAGGTGACTATTAACAGACGCATCAACAACGACCAGAGAAGCAATAAACTTACTAGCGGGACGCTTATCCAACAACAACAGAACGTAATAACTACTACGGACGCATCAATAACAACAGAAGCAATAAGCTACTACTGATGCATCTACAACAACAGAAGCAATAACTACTACTGATGCATCATCTACCAACAACAAACAATTACTACTAAGATGCATCTTACGACAGAAGCAATCACTTGATGCACAACAACAACAAACCAGAAGCAATCAACTTTACTGATGCATCAACAACAACAAGCAACAAAGCAATAACTTTACTGCTTGATGCATCATCAACAACAACAGAAGCAATAACTACAACAGACGCATCAAACAACGAACAGAGAAGCTAACTACTACAGCCATGCATCAACAACCAACAGAAGAAATAACTACTACTGATGCATCATCAACAACAACAGAAGCAATAACTTCTGCTGATGCATCATCAACAACAACAGAAGCAATAACTTCTGCTGATGCATCATCACAAAACAACAGAACAATAACTACTACACAGACGCATCAACAACAACAGAAGAATAACTACTACAGATGCATCAACAACAACAGACGCAATAACTTCTGCTAACAGATTCATCAACAACAACAGATCCCAGCAATAACTACTACAGACGCATCAACAACAAACAGAGAATTTTCCGATATTAAACAAAACAAAGAAAACCAATTAACACACAACCAAAAAATTCAACAACAACAGAACCCATTATAACCCCAAAACAAAACTTACGATCACCCAAAACAAAAAAAAATTCCCCAGACAAAAAGAAAAAAGAAAATAACTACTACCTATGACTTTCAAAACAACGAAGAATAATTTTACTTTTTCAAACCCCCAAAACCAACAAAAAAAATAACTCTCGATCCCCTCAACAAAAAAAAGGCATTAACTTCTACTGGATAAACCAACAAAGAAGCATTTTTTACCGATTCACCAAAACAACAAAAACAGACAAAATTTTCCCTGAATCCAAACACACAGAAGCAAAAAAACTCAACTGATGAAAAACCCAAAACAACAGAGCAAAATTCTACTGATGCTCAAACAACAACCAGAAGCAATAACTTCTCTGAGTTCATCAACAACACAAAGCAAAAACTTCTACTGACCCCATCAACAAAAAAGAAGCATAATTCACGCCAAAACAAAAGAACAAAAAACTTCTTGCCCTTCCCAAACTTACAACAACAAAGCAAAATTTAATTTCCCACTGATCTCTCAATCAAAAAAAAGGGAACCCTTTACTTCATACAACAACAAAACAGAAGAATAACTCTCTGATCCCTCATCCAAAAGAAGCATACTTCTTGATCCCTTCAACAAAAACAGAAAGGGAAAAATTTTCACGACCATAAACAAAAAAACAAAAGCAAATAACTTTTCAAAACCATCTCCCCAAAAGAAAAATTTACCTCTACGATGCATCAACAACAACAAAAAAGCTAAACTTCTACTGATGTCAAAAAAACAGAAGCATAATACTCTATGCACATAAACACCAAAAAAACAAAACTACCACCAAACGTTTTTTTTTCAAAAAAACGAAGAAATAACTCTACAGATGCTCAAAACAAAAAAAGCATAATTTCTACGTTTGTTTCAAAACAACAAAAGAATAACTTCTGATGATATCCCGAAGAAGAAAATAACTACCCGACCCGCTTTCAACAACAACAGAAGAAATAACTCTACAGATGCATCACAAAACGACCCATAATTTTTCTCTGATCATCAAAACAAAGAAGCAAAAAAATTTTTTCTACTGATCCCCTCAACAAAAACAACAACTTCACCAAAACCAACGAAAAACAAAAACTATTTATAGAGCATTTTTTTCAACAAAAACAAAGCAAAAAACTACCACGACGCAAAAACAACAAAAAGAACAATAACTACTTACCAAAAGAACAATTCTCTACAATCCAAAACTACCAATAAAATATTACAATGATCATCAACAACAACAGAAGCAATAACTTCCACTGATCCATCATCAACAACAGAAGCTTTTACTTCGACTAGCCAAAAAAAACCCAAAAAGCAAAAATTCTTGATGCTCCACAAAAAAGGAAAAAATTTCCGGCCATCACAAAACAAAAGCAAAACTACCAGGGCAAAAAAACAAGAAGCAAAAACTAAAAGTGTCATCAAAAACAAAAACCAAAAAACTTTCTATGAGATAAACAAAACCAGGCATCCCTTTTTATGAGATCTTCAACACAAAAGCTAACTAAATGCATCCCACAAAGAGAAAATAACTTTTGGCATAAACAAAACGAACAAAAAATCTACTGATGTCAACAAAACAAAAGCAAAAAATTTATGATGATCAAAAACTCAGAAGAATCCTTTTTGATGCTCCCCCCCAAACAAAGCAAATTCTACTATGCATAAAAACACAACAAAAGCATATTTACTGTCTTTAAACAAAACGACAAACAAACCAAACCCCTTATTAGGGTTTTAAAACAAAAGAGAAATTCTACGACGAAAAAAACAAAAACTCTTCGATGTCACACAACAAAATACCTACGATGCATCAAAACGAAGAAAACCTATGATGCCTAAACCAACAAAAGAATTCTTATGATGCCAACAACAACAAGAATAATTTTCTGTGGATCACAAAAAAAGAGCAAAAATTTCTGTGCTCATCAAAAACAAAAGAAAAATTAATTACTACAGGCAAAAACCGTAGCAAATTTTTACATGCTCCCACAAAAGAAAACTACCTTGATCCACCCAGAAGAAAATATCCCGGCTCAAAAAACAAAGAAAATAATACTAGATGCTAAACCAAAGAAGTTATTCTACTAATCAAAAAAACAAAAAGCAAAAAACTTCTATGATGTTAAAAACCCAACAAAACCATTCCCCAACACGAAAAACAAAAAAATTTTTAACTAACCGATAAATTCAACCCAAAAGAAAATAAAACTTTTA